TAGATGATAGATTCATTGATTGAAATGAATAGATTAATCATACATGTTAAAACAAAATTGATAGATAAATAAAACAATAGATAGAAACAAACACAAACAGATAGATATATATAGATAAAGATAGATAGATATTGATAGATAGATAGATAAAATCTTCTTTTAACTGAACAGATAGACGGATATTAACATTTTTATAAACAGATTTAAAAATTATTTAGGAAATACTGTAAGATAAAGTAATAAATAATAGATAGATTGATACAAAATCATTTATAAATAGATTAAAACAGATAGATCTATGATAATATAGAGATTAGATAGATGATAGATAGACAGAAAAGATAAATAGATAGACCTGATAGATAGATAGAAATAATAGCAGATATAGATAAATAAGAGAATGCATTCTTATAGATAAAACATTTCCAAGAAATAGAAAAATTTCCACGCAGATAGATAATAAAGAAAACAAAGATTCTTTAAATCATCTCAAGAAAAGATAGTAAAAATCATATTTATTATAGATAGATAAATAGATAGATAGATAGATGAAAATCATTTCCAATAGATTAGATGAAAATGAAACAGAGGATATCGATTAATAGATACATATATATATATATATATATATAGATAGATAGATAGATAGACAGATAGCAGATAGAGAAATCATTTCAATGTACTAAATAAGATATTTACAATGATTCTTATAACAAAAGTTACATACATCTTATAGAGCTCAGCACATCTTGCACTTAAAAAATGCTTATAATGTCATACCTTATAGTAAAAACCATTTCCAGCTTCTATAGAAAATTCCCAATGCATTGGTAGTAAAAACCAAACTATTCATTGAAAAATCTAGTAACTCTATAATAAAATCATTAGGGATTTTATATAAAAGATTTACTAGCTGTTATAGTAAAATGTTTGAGCACAATGCATTTTTATATAAAAAATTTGCATTCTTATATAAAACCAGCCGAATATATATATAGATGTTTTCTTATATAAACGATTTCGAATTTTTTATAATAAAATTCCCAATGAATGGGGTTAATTCTTAAATAAAATTAAATCTTTTCGCCGCTATTATGCATTTTTTTTTTTTTCCAATGCATTCTTAAGTAAGGGCTTTGCGTTTAAGAATATTTTTTTCATGGATAGTAAAAATTTTTATCCTCGTAGTAAAAACCATTTCCACGCATTCTTGATAGTAAAAACCATTCCCAATGCACCCAAAAAAAAAATTCCCAATGCATTTATAAAAATTTTTCCAATGCATTTTATAATTCGACAAAGCCAATGAAAAAAAATCATTTACAATGCATTCTTAAAAAAAAAAAACAATGAAAGGAAGTAAATGTTTTTGAAAATGCATTCTTATAGTAAAATCATTCCCAATGCATTTAGTAAATTAATTTGGCTTTATAGTAAAAAAAAAAAAAAATTCTTAAGTAAAACCATTAAAAATGATTCTTAAAATAAAACATTGGTTTTATTCTTATAATAAAATATTTCCAATGCATTCTTATTAAAACATTTCCAATGCGAAAATTATTTCCAATGCATCCTTATAGGATCTCAATGCATTCTCACGTTTCACTTTAATGCGAGTTATTTTTTCCAATGCATTTTTATTTTTAAAACCATTCCCAAGCAAGAGAAAAAAAATGAATAAAAAAAAACTGTTTCCAAGAATTCTTTATAGTAAAAGAATTTCCAATGCATCTAATTAAATACATACGACTATAGTAAAACCATTTCCAATTATTCTTATAGTAAAATGTTTCCAATGTATTTTATAAAAACACAAATTATGTAACAAAACCAACAACAAAAATTCTTATAATAAACTATTTAACACATAATAAAACACAACACTATAGTAAATATTTATATCTTATATAAATATATATATATATATATATATATAAAAAATATGGGAATGCATTAAGATAAAAAGGATTTCGTTACCTTATAGAAAAATCGACAATCATTTTATAACCGAACAGTTAATGCATTGCTGTCGCAATGAATTTTATAAAAATTTCAATGCATTCTTTTTAAACATTTCCAATGCATTCTTATAGTAAAACCATTTCAAGTCTACTAAAAAATTTCCAATGCATTCTATAGTAAAACCATTTCCATTCATTCCTATACAAAAATCATTTATAAAGCATAGTATTATATAAAAAATATTTTATTTCAATGCATCCTTATATAAAAATCATTTCCAATGTTTATTCTTATTTCAAATTCTTATAGAAAAATGCATTCTTATAGTAAAAAATGCAAAATTATTAAAACCAATCAATGCATTCTTATAGTAAAACCATTTCAATGCATTCTATAGTAAACCATTTCCAATGCATTCTTATAGTAAAACCATTTCCAATGCATTCTTATAGTAAAATCATTTTCAATGCATTCTTATAGTAAAATCATTCCAATGCATTCTTATAGTAAAATCATTTCCAATGCATTTTATAAAATATATATTTACAATGCATTCTTATAAAAATCATTTCCAATGCATTCTTATAGTAAAATCAAAATAATGCATTCTTATAGTAAAATCATTTCCAATGCATTCTTATAGTAAAATTATTTCCAATGCATTCTTATATAAAAATCATTTTCAATATCGCATTCTTAAAAATAAAATCATTTCCAATGCATTCTTATAGTAAAATCATTTCCAATGCATTTTATAATAAAATCATTTCCAATGCATTCTTATAGTAAAACCATTTCCAATGCATTTTATAGTAAAATTATTTCAATGCATTCTTATAGTAAAATCATTTCGAATGCATTCTTATAATAAAAATTCCCAATGCATTATAGTTAAAATACATGCATTCTTATAATAAAATCATTTTCAATGCATTTTCAATAAAATTCATTTCCAATGTTTTATAATAAAATCATTTCCAATGAATTCTTATAGTAAAAATAGAGTAATGCATTCTTATAGTAAAAAAATAAAATCATTTAAAATCATTTAAATTATCTTAAAATCATTTCCAATGCATTTTATAGTAAAATCATTTCCAATGCATTCTTATAGTAAAATCATTTCCAATGCATTCTTATAATAAAATCATTTCAATGCATTCTTATAGTAAAATCATTTCCAATGCATTCTTATAATAAAATCATTTTCAATGCATTCTTATAATAAAATCATTTCAATGCATATAATAAAATATTTATAGTAAAATTCATTTCAATGCATTCTTATAGTAAAAATCATTTTCAATGCATTCTTATAGTAAAATCATTTCCATTGCATTCTTATTCTTATAATAATTTTTATTAAAAATGCATTTGCATTCTTTAAAAAAATCATTTCAAATTTTATAGTAAAATTATTTGATTTAATAAAATCATTTCCAATGCATTCTTATTTTAAAAAAAGTTCCAATGCATCTTATATAAAATCATTTATAAAAAATCATTTCCAATGCATTCTTATACTAAAAATCATTTCAATACATTCTTATAGTAAAATCATTTCAATGCATATACTGAAAGATTTTATCTTATATAAAAATATATTAAATAAAAGACAACAATTTAAAAATAAAAATATATTTCGAAAGTGAGAAAAAATTTAAATATAATAATTAGGGATATTCTTGCCGGTAAAAGTTTATGTTCTCTTTGGCGTCATATCCTGACATTTTCAATGCATTTAATTGTAAAAATCATTTTTTTTGATCAATTTTTAATCATTTTGCTGTAAAATCAAATCCATACGCCATGTTATAGTAAAATAACCAATCATTTTTTACTAACCAGGATTTAAAGCATTCTTATCGTATATTTGTTTCAATATGATATATAGTTTTTCTTAAAGAAACGATTTGAATAGAAAAGTCGTGTTTCAAAAAAAGAAGTAAAACAAGAGTTAAAGAAAAGATTTTATTGTACACAAAATAAAAAAAAAGAAAAAATTTGAGAAAAGTGAAAAGCAGAGATCAAAACGCCTTTTCAAAAAAAAAGGTCAGAAAAAAATCAAAGAAGAAAACTAAAGAAAAGAAGGAAAAAAAAAAAGAAATAATTTGTTGTCGAAAGAAAGAAAAATGAAAAACCCTTAGAAAGAAAAATTAAGAAAGAATGGAATGTGATAAGGAAAAAAAGACAGTAAAGAAAATTTGAACAAAGAAAGAGAAGATGACAAACAATGAAGGAATTTAGAAAAAAGAAAAAAAGAAAGAAGGAAAAGGAAAGAGGTAAAAGAAATATATGACAAAGAAAGAAAAGAATGAAATTGAAATATAGAATTAAAGAATAAATATGAAAGGAAGGATCCAAAAAAATTAAACGTCCTTAAGAAAAGGAAGGAAAGACGGTGAAAAGTATTTAACAAAGATGAAGAAAGAGAAAGAAAGGAATTTCCTGGAAAGAAATAAAGAAGGAAGGAAGGAAGGAAGGAAGGAAGGAAATACGGTAAACGAAATATTGACAAAGAATTGAAAGACGGTAATTCTGAAAGAAGGAAGGAAGGAAAGAAGAAAGTTTTTAGGAAGGAAGGAATGACAAAGAAATGAAGGAGGGGAAAGGAAGGAATGAAGGAAGGAAGGAAAGAAACGGACAAACGAAAAAAAACACAAATGAAACAGAAAAGAGACCAGAAGGAAGAAGGAAGGAATGAAGGAAGGAAGGAAGAAATGAAAAAGCGATGGAAGGAAGGAAGGAAAGACGGTAAAAGGGATTGACAACTCACAAAAGAAAGAGAGTAAGGAAAGAAAAGGAAGGAAGAAAGGAGGAAGGAAGGAAGGAAAAATGAAATGAAATTCCAAACAAAGAAAGAGAAAAGAGAGTTTGAAAAGAAAGAAGGAAGGAAGAAGGATATCAAAAGATTTGACAAAGAAAAAATGAATCAAAGAAAGATGGAAAATATTTGTGATTGTTAAAGAAATAGAGGGCGTTCGAGATTTAAGGAAGGAAAAGAAAGGAAGGAATATTTGATACACAAAAGATAGAAATTAAGAGATGAAATATGAAAAAAAAGAAAGAAAGAAAGAAAGAAAAAAGAAAGAAAGAAAGAAAAAAGAAAGAAAGAAATAAAAGATATAATCATTTTGTGCAAAGGAAAAAAATTTTAGTAAAAAAAAAGAAAGAATGGAATAAAGAAAGAATGATTTTTTATATAAAGAAAATATTTCGAATAGATATAAGGAGAACTAGAAAGGAAGGAAGGAAAGAAAATTTGGAAAGAAAAAAGGAAAAGAAAAAAAATAAAAAGATATAATATTATTGCCAAGGAAATGGAAGAGTTAATGGACTAAAAAAGAATATTAAAAAGAAAACGAAAAAAAAAACATGAGAAAAGAATGATATAAAAAGGAAGGAGAAAGAAAAAAGTTAAAAAGATAGATACAAAAAAAAAATGGAAGAAAGCAAGAATGAAAAGAAAATCGAAAAATGATAAGATAACTGGATGAATTTATTATGAGTACTTGGGCAAAAAAAAATGAAAAATGCATCAAGAAAGAAAGACAAATATATCAAAATATGAAAAAAAAAAATGAAATTTAAAGAAGGAACCTTTTGAGAAGTAAAAAATATTTCTCCCCACCACCGCCATAACCCATTTTAATTTTACATTTTCCCTTTTTCTATTTGGCACGAAGTAAATATATTCAGCAAGGCTTGAACGCAAGGCACACCACCAGTTGCAACTCTGAAGCAAGTTCATGCTCGCCCCACACCCACGGAATCGCCTCCCGGCCAACTTCAGACCGTTTTCGTTTAATTAAGAATTAAAAGATCAAACGAAGAATACATTTGAGTGTGTGAACACGTCACCGGCAGATGAACACGCGCGGGAAGACGACAGGGTGTCAAAATGTCATGCCAATCCCTCGCAGAAGTTGGGGAGGGGCAAAGTTTGAGAGGTTGGGAAGGTAAGCCGACAAGATGTTTGTTTTAATTGTAGAAACAAATTAAAATACAACTAAGATTAATACAGGTTGAGAATGCGTGCTAATGTTTATTGGCAAAATAAACACACATAACTGCATATGCAGGTTGGTTATCATTTATAAAAAATTCCAAATTTTCCGAACGAGCTGTTTTTTTTCTAATAATCAAACAAATATGACTTGCAACAAAGGAAAAACTTTAAAAAAATCATTTTCCAGGTCAGATGTTTTTAAACCCATGCAATTTGATTCATCTTCCCTGGGTGTAACAAAAATTCTGATTTTCGGACAATTCTTTAGCCATTTCCAGTTGTGTATATTGTAATTAAATTTTTCTTCATATTTGTATAATTTAAATAGAATTTAAAAAGCGTTATATATGTTATTATATAATATATATATGCATATAAAACATCTAGTTATTTTTAATATATATATAGAATTTTATTGAACAATGGCATTGGGTCGTGAAAGATTTTTTTTTTTTGAAACGATAAAAAGACACTCACGTAACTCAAAATAAATTCTATTTAATATAATTATTTATAACCTACTAACATATATTATATATATATATATATATATATATATATATATAAATATAAAAAAATAATCTCAACAAATATTCTTAAATGTCTATAATTGGTAACAGAAATCATTGGTTTATACCAACAGCTTCCCAGACTTAATACTTCTTGAATTCACTTCGCGTGGTCATGTGTGACGTCATGAGCTGCGGTGCGATTTTTCGCTTCCAGCGTCTTATATGCACGTGTTTATCGTTTATTTTGAAATCATCCATGTAGTAAACATCAAACAGACTATCATCACTAATCTTTCCGTATATTGCTTAATATATTGTTTAAATTGATTAAAAAAATATGTATCATCTTTGATAATATATATATAAGACGTTATACTTAGATTTTATAAAAAATATATATCAATATTGTGATTTATTTAATTCGTTTAATGATAATGTTATTAAACTTATCAGACGTTATATAAAAGAATATATACATATAAATAAATATGCTCCCAGACAACTGGTTGTCTAGGCGAATTTAATTGAAATGATTACTACTGCTGCTAATGCAAGTATCTTCCAATGAATTGAGTTTTCACCACTGGTGTGTTTGTTAAAAATAAATACGCTAAAATCCCCCTTCTTCTCCATCTTGCTCCAATAGCTTATGGGTAGATACTGCAACTGATGCCAGATTTGTGGGTTTAGATCCTGGCTTATGCAATTTAGATGTCTAGTCACAATTATGAGCTGTGATAAACGAAAACAGTCTGTGGATGTGGAACAATATATTTATATATATATATATATATATATATATATATATATATATAAATATATATATATATATATATATATATATATATATATATATATATATATATAATCATTCATTCAAAAAAACAGATTAGTGAAGTTAATGATATAAATGGCGAGAATACATCTTCGCAAACAAATTTATTAAAATTACATTAACCCACGAACCTCTAGATGAATGTTGTGATCCCTGTTGTTAATAAATTCAATTTGTATAAGGTCTTTTTTGCTAGTACTTTCATCTGTTCATTCTGACATCATCAGGCATGGAAAATTATTTGTTTTTGTTTTTAAATACATTCAGGTAATAACGGGACACGAAAGATTAGATGTGTTTTTAGAAATGTGTTATTGTTAGCTGTAAGAAATTTTTCGAAAAACATAAGAAAAAGAAATTAATAATATGTGGAAATCTCCACGCTTTGCCTGATGACGGTCACGAGACCGGAAACACGTGTAGTAAAATTATGGAAAATAAACCATAATATCTTTTTAAAAAATCCACATTACAACCAAAAACGTTTACGTTTTCTCTCTTTTTAGCTAGAGGCAACCGGATGTCTAACCGCACTGATGAGCTGTGAAACAGCGAAACAGTCTGTCTGTGGATGACGTTTATTGGCTCCTGAAAAATTAATTTCACTTGAGCTCTCTGGGGAGGAGGTGTTGGTTGGTAAACAGTGACTATTTATAGCTATATAGCGAGACTCTTCGCAAAAGCGAATCGAATCACTGTCGGTCACTGGGCGTGTTTCGAAAAATAAAAAAATACGCTAAAAATCCACTTTTATCGTTGCCGTGCGCTGACGGCTTAATGCTTAGAATCTCTGACTGACACCAAGTCAGTCAGGTTTCGATCCTAGCTAGAGGCGACCGGATGTCTACCCGCACTGATGAGCTGCGAAACAGTCTGTCTGTGGACGTATGTATAAGATTTTTTTTTTAAAGACTTACATATTAAACGGTAAACTCAAAACACAACAAAGATTTTCCTAGATACATCTGCATAAACCTGGTCAATGTTTACTGATAGACTCAACTTCAAACCCGGTTACTGCTTACCGATAGGCATTTGTATAACTCGGATCAATTTTTACCAATAGGCTCAAATCTAAATCAAACCAATATTTACCAATATAATCAGGTTTAAACCAGGTCAATTTTTATCGATAGACTCAAGCCTAAACGGAATGTTTACTGATAGAGTCAAGTTCAAACCCGACTAATGTTTATCGATAAAATTCAAGTAAAATTCGGGCCAATTTTTACCAATAGATTCAATTTTACGCCCATCTAATGGAGGCACGGTGGAGTAATGAATAGAGGTTCGGATTAAGGAATTCAAATTCCAGTCAGATCCATTACATTCACTTATGTGCTAATGCCCTTGGGAAAGGAATGGGTAAATAGCAGGACAGACTGGGTTCTATAGACATGGATGGCAACTAGTCTACCGCAGAAAGAAAAGGCAACCTACTGTAGAAAAATCTGCCTCGTCAGTCATGTATCGAAAGATACATGATCGCCTAAGCGTGTATCACGCATGACAGATAACTGACTGACTGACGCGATAATACCTTTGGGAAAGGTATGAATCCTCTTCTTCTCCCCACTCCCAAGCTGTGGATAAATAGCAGTATCGACCGGGTTCTATAACCTTGGATAGCAACTGATCTACCGCAAAAAGAAATGGCAACCTACTGCAGCCAAAAAATCTACCTCGTCAGTCATATATCGAAAGATACATGATCGCCTAAGCGTGTATCACGCATGGCACATAAGGGACTGACGTGATAATACCCTTGGGAAAGGTATGGATTCTCCTCTTCTCCCAACTATGTGTAAATAGCAGTACTGACAGGGTTATCTAACCTTGATCTAACGCAGAAAGAAAATGGCAACCTACCGCGGGAAAAAACATCTGCCCCGTCATTGATGTATCGAAATATACATGATCGCCTGAACGTGTATAACGTATCCCATATATCTAACTGAATGTTTACCAGTAGACTAAGTGTAAACCCGACCAATGTTTGCCGACTAGCTCAAATTTAAAGCGGATAAATTTTTACCAATAGGCTCAAGTTTAAACCCTACCAATGTTTAGCGACAGGCTCAAGTTTAAAACCGATATATTTTGAGTTTATTTACCAGTATACTCAAGTCTAAATCAGAATAATGTTTACCAATAGACTCAACTTTAAAGCCGGTCAAAATTTACACATGGTCTCAAGTCTAAGCTAGAATAATGTTTACCAATAGACTCAACTTTAAATAATGGTAGACTCAACTTTAAAGCCTTTTACACACATGGTCAAGTCAAGTAGAATAATGTTTAGAATAGACTCAACTTTTCGGTCAAAATATAAGTTTTTAAAGCTTTTCATGTTTACCAATATAAGTTTTAAACCTGACCAATGTTTACCAATAGATTCAGTTTTAAACCCGACAAAGTTTTACAAATAGGCTGAAGTTTAAATCGTATTGCTTCGTCTCATAAAATTCCGCATTAGATAACTCAGCTAAAGTTAATATGTCATAAAATCCACCAACCCATGCTAGTTTAAGTCTAAATATTTCGATAACCAAGTGAGAGCTTCACACTTGTGTCATTGTTTTTGTTTAAGTGACGCTTAGGAAATATCAATAATGATAGCTGGTATAGAGAGAGAAAGTCAAAATTGAAATTAATGATTAGTAAATGTAAAAGATAAAACCGTGAATCGATTCAAAAGAGTTGCAATTTTAATAAATTTACAAATTTTAAAGGTGATTAAATTGATGTCAACTAAAATATTCATATTTTTTTTCCATGGTTCTTTATCATTTAATTTTAGGAAAACATTTACATCAAAACCATTAATGGTTACTCTAAATTAAATGAATAAAACGCTCGTTTTACAAGCACAGGGATGTG